ACTTTGCACTGAATGTACTACACACTGCTTTTACTGAAAAAGTCAGGGAGAGAAGGCTCCTACCCTTCTCACACAATTCTGCTGTAAGGGGGACTGGAGTAGTCGTCCCTTCACCTGCCGGGCTATTCTCATCAAAATTATGCTTAAAACAAGATCAGGAACTGGAGAAAGAGTGAAGAGTAAACAAATAAATTCTAAAAAATGAAAGACCTGAAAAATTAGAAAAACTAAATATGAATAATTTGAGATGGAGAAAAATGACATCCTTACACTTTCTTTGTTAGCATCGGGTCTTATATAAAGTAAGTACTTAGCAAATAGAGACCAAGACTGAAAACAAATAGGGAAAGGAAAGTGTTTGGAGCTTCTGAATAGAAAAAACCTCTGGCTTATGAAGCTGATACATTTTCTAAATAAAACATGGATGGATTAGTTAAGGAACACCAACATGGAGATTATTCAGTGTCAGAATGGATGAGAATTTTTTATAATAGGAGGATATGTGGAGTTCTGATAAGGAATTCTGATTTTGATTTGATAATAAGAAAGTTTATATATAATACTAGCATAATTGTAGTCTACATTTGGAGGACAACCAGATAAGTAGATGTAAAATACATTCTACAAAAACAAAAATTATAAATAGGGGAACACATTTAATTTGAATTGTGTTACACACGAACAGAATCTGAACTAGTGATTTCTTAGTGCTTTTTTATATTTAGAAAAAAATGTATAATAATCAAAGCAGGTAATTTAAAACCACACATCATTATTTAGAACTTAGACACTTCCTAGTATCTCTTGACAAATCCAAAACATTAATGTAAGTTATAGTAATAGATTAAATTGCATTGACTATAAGTTCCACATATTATAACTTCAAATTCCACTAAGAAACTCCTTTTATTTGCTCTGATCAAATTACTTTACATTCAGCTGTTTCCTTGAAACTGAAAACCAACCTGGAATTCTTACTGACATAAAACATTAACTCTCCACATACTCATTGTTTCTTGGTCTAGTCCATCTTTCTAACACTAATTAATTAAATATTTTATTTATTATTGTATTATTTAATAATTTTTCTATCTTGGCAGGGGCAGGGGGTAGGTGACTAGGTTTATTTGTTTCTGGAGGAGGTACTCAGGATCGAACCCAGGGCCTTACGCATGCTAAGCATGCACTCTACCCCTTGAGCTATACCCTCCCCCACAGTCTATTTTTTAAAATTGTACTTACCCTTGGGTATGTGACTGAGTTTATTTCTTTGAAGAATGAGCAACTTTAGAAACGGAAGCTCATTTCTCAAGCTGCTTCTGTGGCGTTTCACCCACGAGGACTTAAGACTGGGCAGATCCAATGACACGGAGTGGATGGCGTTGTTGCTGAGGTTTAACATTTCCAGAGCATGAAAACGCGCGAGAGAGCTCAAGGTTACTTTTGATATGAGATTGTTACTGAGGTCCAAATGTCTTATAGTCCATTCTTCTTTTTTCATGTGAGTTTGTAAGAGAACCTTGAAGAAATTGGAACTTACAGCATCCACCGTGGCTGCTATCTGTGATATGTCCACAGGTATCTCACGCTTTCCAGCAAAAGAACAATTTGTCAGAAGATATCCATTCCACTGGCACTTGGAATTGAATAAAATACTACTTTTTCTAGATGGGTTTGTCATTGTGCCAGTGAAATAAAGACCTATCACCATGGTAATGACTCTCAAACACAGGTTTTTCATAATGCCTGGAGAGAGGAAAATTAATTGACTTATTCAAAGTAGCTTATGTAAAAACTAACAGCAAATAAGCAGAAAATTTAATTTTCAATTTAAGATTTAGGAACATTATTCTGCCTTGATTGCCCATTTAAGTGAATGTTTAATTTCTTACAAACTGGAGCAAAGTGTAGCTTGCAAAATGGTATACAGCTATAGTATAAAACTACATTTATGACACATTTTTAAAGAAAGAACTCCCCTGATTTGTCAGAAAATACAAATTCACTTAGGCCTCACCTCTGTGTCTGCTCTTCCAGGATCATTCACCCTGACGTCTGCTTAGGAGTGAGGGAAACCTACCAAGATTAAAGACTTCTCTGCTTCCTTGCTAGTCATTAGTACTGAGCAAAGTCTATTAGCTTATCTTACAGCACTGCAGTCAGCCATGTGATTTACCATGTGAGTCACAAGCCATCCAGTTACGCTAAACTGTGGAACTGCATGGGTGGAAAGTTCAACTCACGAGAAGAGACTCTTGATTTTTTTTTTAATGACTAGAACTACAAGCTTTGTCTTTGTGGCTTTTGTGACTTTTCAAATCCTTTTGAAATCATTTAGACATATGCAACATTAAAAATGGATTATAAAAAGGATGCTCTGCCTAGAACCCATGAAGATATAATAAGATACAGAAACTCAAGTAACTTTTTTCACCAAAGATCCTTGAGAAGCACTTAAAAGCTTTAAAACAAATATCTATAAAGCACAAAAAGTAATTTAAAAAGAAAATCGAAAGGATAACTTTTGTGATGTGTTTTAATTAAACCAAGTTCCATTAAAAAAACCAATGTGCATACAAATAACCACATTATTCAGCACGTAGGTTTACAATAAATTGTCCCTTGCTTTCTGTTCTAATGGCACCATTCTGGTCCTCATCACTACTCTGCAGTACTAGGATGGTCTATTTTCCAGCCACTGCCTCTTGACTTTCCTTCTTGATTCATCCAGAAGGTTCCAAATGGTTACCTCTCCACAGTACTCTTCTCCTCACATCATCCTCCCATTTAAAATTCTCCTAGGGCTCCTGTAGTCCAAATCCCTCAGGCTGGCATTCCAGGTTTGCATTACTTACCTAACTTTATGAACTAGTTTTAAAAGTACATGTGGAGCAAATACAAGATGCGGCTTCTGTACCTCAGTATATATATATATAT